AAGCCTTCATCTAAAGTGAGAATAGCAGCACAATTGGAAGAGCATAGTCAATGTCACTGAACTGTGCATGTAGAAATTTTTGAAATGGTGTATCTTTAGCTATGTGTATTTTCACCAAAAAAAAAAAAGGTCGAGAAGGGAAAGGGTTGACATGTCGTGGGGTTGTTAACCAATGTCATAAAACAATATGTGTACTACTGTTTCATGAGAATCTGTTTGTTCTGTAAGCCTTCACCTGAAGTACAATAAAAAATAATAATAATTTTAAAAAAATGAAAAAAAAAACAAAAAACATGAAAGCCTCCACTGACAGACGGCTAGCGGTTGCATATGAGGTGCATTAGCCAGAACTGAACCTGGATCTCCTGCATGGAAGGCCAGAATTCTACCATTGAACCATCACTGTGCTCGGTGGCTCTGCATATGGGGAATACTATTCCTGAGGCGGAGGAGCCACGGTGGAGGGGTGGTCTAGCGCTGGGCTGCTAAAAGATCAGAGGTTCAAACTCACCCAGGTGCTCTGTGGGAGAAAGATGTGGTAGTCAGCTTCCCTGAGGATTTCAGCCTAGGAAACCCTATGAGGCAGGTCTACTCTGTCCTTTAGGGTCGCTATGAGTCAAAACGACTGGAGGGCAAGGAGCTTGGAGCATTGCTGAGGCAGACCCCCTTCTTTGTCCAGCTGCTCCTGCCCAGGCCTTCTCACAGCAGCGGCAACATATTCCACACATCCCCAGGTCTGCATCCACCCTGCAGAATCACACTTAAACCGTCTGGAGCCTATAGTTTACTTCAACACAGGACATTGAAACTGACTGATGGTGGAAGTGAATTATCCTGCGAGAAGGCATCAGCTAAACAGACTTTGGAATGCTTTATTGAAATTAGAAAACTAAAGTATATCGATACTTCTTTCTCTCGAGGGAATACAACCCCAGAAGGCAGGAAAGTTCATACAACATGGAAATGTAATTATACTAGTAATCTAGTACCTATATATTTCACAAAAACACATCTTTTTGCTGCTTAGGACTGAACACGTTGAATCACACTAGACACTTTCTGGTGACCATGACCTTTATGAAAAATATAAGCGGTGAACTTCCTAAACCCAACATGGACCCTCGTAGCTCCCCAATGACTCATGAATCAAAATAGGGCATCCCATACAATAAAAAGGTGATTTCATGGAATTATTTGAGTTTGGGAAGTTCCAGAATTTCAGAGAGGAAGGATCGAAAGCTACAACACTTTCTCCTGAAGTAAACACTAAATTAAGCTGTGACAATGGCCGGCCCCCCTTCTCCCTTCCCCACACACTGTCTTGGAAAAACAGGACTAACCGTGATTTATTTGCGCTCGTAAAACACAAGGAACAAGACAAATGTTCTTATGTGTAATCTGAGACGACAGAAGGGTTTTTAAAAAGTGTGTTTATTTCAGAAGTAAGAGAAATCTGCAAAACCGAAGTTCAGATAAAGAAATAGGTGAGGTTGCCCTTCCCCGCCTTAACTATTCCAATCTCAATAACTTGAGTGCCTTCAAGAGATCCTGCTGTCCGTCGCCGTTCGAACGGCCCCTTGGATCCTGAGCCCGACCCTCCCCGCACTGCGTTCGAGGGTCACTCAGCTGTTGGTAACTCCACCGCGGCGAAAGATTGACCCTCCCTTTGGGAGTTTGGGGGCAGTTGGCTAATATCCCAGAGTCAGTGAGCCTCAAGCGCGAGGGTGAGAGGAGTCAGCACAGCAGGCGGGGCGAGCGCCTTCCTTCCGGTATCAGGGAACAAATCAGGAGTCCCGGGGATTTCCCCGGCCCTGGGACACTGGGCTTTCCAGCTTGGACCATGGATAAAACGGGTTCGCGGGACTCGGAGCCGCAGAGCCAGGGTCACAGACAGACAGCCCTCCCTGAGCCTTCTTTTTGCTCCAGGCACAGCCGCCCCGACACTCCTAGCCGAGCGCCATGGCCCGCACCGCGCTCCCCGCCACTCCCCGCCTCCTCCGGGCGGCGCTGCTTCTCCTGCTCCTGGTCGCCGCCGGCCGGCTCGCAGCAGGTGAACCTCGGCGGGACCCCGCGGCAGCTAGGGGCGGGTGGGCGCCCGTGCCAGGAGACAACTCCGCTAACCCAGTCTCTCTTCTCTCCCAGGGGCGCCCATGGGCTCCGAACTGCGCTGCCAGTGCGTGAAGACCGTGCAGGGAATCCATCTGAAGAACATCGAAACTTTGAAAGTGACGTCCCCGGGACCCCACTGCGCCCAAACTGAAGTCATGTAAGTCTCGCCCCGCGCTGCTGCTGCCGCCATTCTGTCACCCCAACCCTCCAATGCTCCCCGCACTGACTGCGCAGCCCCACAGCCGGTCTCACGCGGTTTCTCCTTCTCTCTGCAGAGCCACTCTCAAGAATGGGCAGGATGCTTGTCTCAATCCCGCAGCCCCCATGGTTAAGAGAATCATCCAAAAGATGCTAAACAGGTGAGTTGTGGGTTTTTATTTACAACATGTGACTAGGGTCATAGGGACAGATACTGGCATCTGCTTCTGAAAATCATAGAAGACAAATTCAGGGGTTAGCTGAAGAGCTGAAAATCGTTGTTATAGTCACAATTAAGATCGTTAATCTTCTTTGGTGCCAGAATGGAATCTCTGGCACCTTTCATTCCCACCCACAAACCTCCATTCAAACGAAAGTGGATAAATATGTGTTTTTAAAATATTAACTACATCTGTCTAGTGATGCTGAAATGCTTCCTACCCATTAAAGAGCAGTATTTACCCCAGTTTCTCATGGTTTCCGACCTGAAAAGTGGAAGTAACTTTTGTGCCCTTAGTTTTGGGCAACAGGTGCCTCTAAATCTTGGTGGTGAAGAGCAGGGCTTTGCTGTGAGTCCCATCTGAGTTCAAGTCTAGGCTCCATCTCTTAGTAGGCCTGTGACCCAGAAAAGTATTTAATCTCTGAGTCTCCATAAAATGAGAAAATAACAGTACCTATTTCGTGGGTTTGCTCGAGTGAGGCTTAAGTGAGGATATGCATGCACATTTTCAGTCCTGGGTGACATTCGGGCGGTGTTCAGTATGTTTCAACTGTTTGAAAGCAACAATGCAGTTGCTACCACAGGTCCTCTTATTAAACAGCGTTCAGGAGCCTGGCTTTTTCTGCTGCTCAGGGCTACAGTAGTTACAGGCAGTAACTACTTGATGCAGGCCTGGGCAAGCTGCAGCTTTTGGAAAACCCTAGAGTATCAGGGATCTAAGGCAAAAGAAGGGGATTGTGTAGTCAGCTTATTGATTTCCTACTAAGAGCAACCATTTTTTCATCCTAGGAGCGGCACCAACTGACCTAGTGAGGAGGAAGCCCGTAGGTGACTGTCCTGAAGAAGGTTCTGTCCTTAGAAGAACCAAAGGGAAAGAAGAGAAACAAATGGCTCCTAGGGAGACCTGGACTGTGCTTAATGTATTTGACTGTTTTCCATGAGTTCTATTTATTTATATATGTATTTATTTATTTTTCAAAATTTCTATTTTAATGTTTTACCTGGTATTTAAAGATATGAATTTGTCTGGTAATTTACTGAATTGTTATTTTTATAGTAAGTAAAAGTTCATTCCTGACTATTATTTAATTTGAAGATGATGGGTTTTAAATGTTCTTCAGTCATTAAGCTGATATTTTGGTGGAGCCCACAGTATGCCAGCCACTGTGACAGAGGTTGGAGGTAAATTGTGGGAGATCCAAGCAAATACTGTTAGGATAGGGGAGTGTGTGTACAAACGTCTATGTTTGTAAATGTTTAGAAGAATGTCAGTTGTTATTTATTGTTGTTCCATGACGTGGTCAGCATTTCACAGTGAACATTTCAGGTGTTGAAGCTTTGAAAACTACACTGTTCTAAATATCCCTTGGACATTTTATGTCTTCCCTTGTAAGGCATAATGCCTTGTTTAGCATAAATTATGCAATGTTTCTCTGTGTCTTGGAATGGAGTTGTTTGAATATCGATTATTTTTAAAATAATATGAAAATAAAGCTTATACAAAAATATCATGCTTAAGTTGTGTTTTGTACGTCTTGGCTTTTTGTTCTTCTTGAGTGCCCGAGGTGCAGTACATTTTTAACAGTGTGTAGAGCATGCCCATTTAAAGCCTGCTACTGGCTGCCACTTTTCCTTGTTTCTCTCTTCTTCAAGAAGGTGTGTTTGATGCTTTTCCAAAGTCCATGCAAGCCCCTTGAGGATCCCTGTTTTACACAAAATGCTTACTTCTTTTCACTATAACCAACTTGTTATTCAATTTTAGGTCTTTAAAAACTTTTATAGATATTTTAATAAGAGCTCTCATTTAATTTGTTAAATGGTTTTTCAAACAGTTATGGATTCTTTTCCCCCTGAATGAAGCTGGGAGCTAAATTAGTAGTAAAATGGCTTCTTTCTCAGAACTTAATTTGTGCACCAGGGGGAGAAAGGCAGGAAAAACGAGTAGCAGAGTACTTCATCTATATAAAGCTGTAATAGAGAAGGTTTCACCTCTGTGGAGAGATAAAGATTACCAAGTTTAATGCTGTTCTATTGCCTCATAAGTATGGTGATGCTTTACTACTCCAGCTTTTTCTTCCACCTCATCAGACATTTTCTAAACCTGTAAATTTCAACTTAACATTGCCCCAGCATGGCAGAGGCACATCCAGCTTTCAAGACAGAAACAAAGGCTGTCATCTCAGGTATGGAAAGCTCCAAGCTACCTGGAAAGGAACACATTCCAAACCTGTAAACGTGGAAATTGTGCGCACGTGGGAAGGGCAAGGTACGGTGTGTGCTTGACTCTAATTCAGGATCTATTTCTAGGCTGCTGATCCCTAGTTTGGAAATGCTGGTGGCATAGTGGTTAAGTGCTATGGCTGCTAACCAAAAGGTTAACAGTTTGAATCCACCAGCCACTCCTTGGAAACTCTATGGGGCAGTTCTACTATGAGTCAGAATCGATGGCAATGGGTTTGGTTTCTGAACCCTAGTTTATAGCCTTCAGCGGAAGGAAGAGGGCTGGGTTGCTGGCCTGAAGACCTGTGCTCATGCACAAGCTTGTCCTAAGCAGCTATGTGACTTTGGCCAGGAAACAATTTACCTAAGCCTCCATTTCCTCCCCTGAATAATAAATTTAATGGTATTTTCATAATTCCAATGTTATTTGTTCGGAATGAATGAGGTACTTAGATGGCCAAGCAATTTGTAAAAGATAGGCAAATGCAAACCATTCTGGAAGTTGCATAAATGCCAGCACTGACTCCCTCACCCCAAGTCCGGGACAAATATTTTAGGCTGTGGGAAAACAAAATGTCCCTGGATTCATCAGCATTCCCGTATAAGGGCGTAGCCTCCTGAGACTCTCAGCATACTATGAGAATTAGATCTGTAGCCATTTGTCTAGTTAATGGCTCTGACCCTAAATAATAATAAAATGTCTTTTATCTCCCCTGAGAGGGCCAAATGGTCATAGCTAGGACTAGGTCCTTAGGCTAAGCCCCAGGGTGTTAGGGAGACTGGAGCACTACTTCCCTAGGTATTTACATGTCAAAAAAGATGAAGCTACGTAACTTGGAGACATTTTTTATATATGTATATTTTATTCCATCTTTTAATTTTAGCCTAGCTGTGCTTTATGTTTGATGTACTTCTCTTGTAAATAGAGTATACTTAAATTTTCTTTTTTATCCAGTCTAACAATCTCTGAGTTTAAATAGAAGCTTTAATCTGTTTTTTTTTTTTTTTAATTTTTTTGTTGTTGTACTTTAGATGAAGGTTTACAAAACAGTTTCTCATTAAACAATTAGTACACATATTGTTTTATGACGTTGGTTAACAACCCCACGACATGTCGACAATTTCCCTTCTCAACCTTGGGTTCCCTATTACCAGCTTTTCTGTCCCCTCCTGCCTTCTTTTCCTTGACCCTGGGCTGTTGTGCCCCATTAGTCTCATTTTGTTTTATGGGCCTGTCTAATCTTTGGCTGAAGGGTGGACTCAGGAGTGACTTCATTACTGACCTAAAAGGGTTTCCGAGGGCCATATTCTCAGGATTTGTCCAGTCTGTGTCATGCCAGTAAGTCTGGTCTTTTTTTGTGAGTTAGAATTTTGTTCTACATGTTTCTCCAGCTCTGATCAGGACCCTCTGTTGTGATTCCTGGGAGATATCTTTAGATAATAAAAGTAGGAGGCTATCTGGAGAGAGATTATTTACATAGTAAAGGGCTGGACTTAGAACTCAAGACTGTTATGTTCCCAAGGAGTCTCTTTCAGGAGGGGAGGAGGACAGTTGCCTCCTTCCTCTTTGTAAACAGACAGAATCATTTTTCTTATCCCTGGCCTATGGAGTATGGCAGGACAATTGACCTGGCTTTCACTGTGTCACCCCAGGGGTAAGGCTTGGGGCAAGCTGGGAGTAACACACTTACTCATTGTAATTAATAAGAAATGTGTCTCTAATCCATAACACCCCATGTTTTCATTCAGGATAAAATTTTAAAATATGAATATTAAAAACTCAACATAGGGCATGTTAACTTGGGACATGGAAAGAAGGACAAAGGAGATTCAGTCGGTTCATATGGTGGTTAAGAACATAGGCTGTGAAGAAGTAGACTGACCTCACAGTAGATTCCTGCTCTAACACCTTCTAACTCTGGATCTAAGGCCACGTTTCTTGATTAATCTAACTTCCTTTTTATAGTTGTTACCATAATTGCATATGATAATCAGTAAAGTGCTAAGCAATGCCTGGGAGATTGTGGTGGCTCCAGAATTCCTGAGACAAAGGGGGAAGCAATCTGATTTTTTGAGGGGAGAGATGACACTGTATTAGTTTCCTATTGCTGCTGTAACAAATTACCACAGATCTGGGGCTTAAAACAACATAAATTTATTCTCTTGCCATTCTGAAGGTCTGAAGTCTAAATCAGCTTCACAGGGCTAAAATCAAACTGTTAGCAGGGTTTACTTCTTCTGGAGGCCCCATGGGAGAATCCGTTTCCTCTGACCTTTCCAGCTTCCCATGGCCATATGGTCCCCCTCATCTATCTTCAAAGCTAGCAGTGAAGCATTTTCAAATCTCTTTCTCTCTGTCCCTTGGCTTCTGTCACATCACCTCAGTCTGACTCTGACTCCTCCTGCATCCCTTTGATAAGGGCCGTTGTGATTACATCAGGACCACCTGGGATAATCTGGGATAATCTCCCCATCTCAGGAACCTTAATCACATCTGCAAAGTCTCTTTTACAGTGTAAAGTAACATATTCACAGGTTCTAGGGATTGGGACAAGGACATCTCTGGGGACCATTCAGCCTACCACAGAGGGTTTGAAGATTAGTGTCCAAAGCCTTTTTCATTAGACTAAGAAAATGTACATATTATAGACGGTGGATTACAGATTGTGGGAGGACCCCAAATGATGCCAGTACTGGCTAAAGTTCAATAAATGAAACTAAAATCAGACTTAGGTATTTTTTCCAGACTAGTACTGTAAACTTCCAAAGTACACCAAAAAAAGGTTTATTATATAACTGTAGGGAAGACACATATGACTGGAAAAACAAGAGGAAGGTCCAGGTGAAAAACGTGGAGAGATTCCCTAGGTTTATGTTTGTTACTGACCCTCTGGCTTGCTCCCATGGACATCAACTCATTCCTGGAGCAAGTAGAAATGGCAAGTATGGGCATCACATTAAATTGTCTGTGAGACTTCAGAGTACACAGTAACCCTCCACTGAGAACATCAGGGCAGGGAGTGGGGCACAGAGATGTTTCAGGGAATGATCACAGGGTGACAAGAGAAGGAAAAGGATATTCTCTGCATTAGTAGATCAGTCCTAGAACAGTGGGACACACTATGACTGTGTGCCTTTGAGAGGCTATCAGGAAACAGCAATAATGCAGTGCTTGAGGTTTCCTGGGCAAAGAAGCCAGAGCAGGAGAGGAGGAATGATGGATGACCCACTCGGTGACTATGATGACTCGTTTGAGAGTTCTCCTGAGATATTTTCTAGAGACTTTCAGAATCAATGGTGGAATGTGAGGAATGGGAGAAATGGAGATTTCTGCAATAGCAGGATGGGGGAACTGTTTTCTCTGCTGATATGTAAAAATTGTAAGAGAAGAGTCCGGTTTCATCCTGGGTTTCCCACAAAGCAGAGCCTGAGACAAAGCACATGTAATACTACTTTAATAAGGGATTCAGTCCCAGGGAAGCAGGGATGAGGCTAAACGTAAGTTAATTAGGAAAGGAAGGAGATTCAATATGAAGATGTATTACTGAGATCACCACCACTAAGAGCAACTCACTGCTTCATTTTGGAAGAATAAAACCATTTAAACTGCATCCCATTCAGTTTGCATGCGAAGAGGAAAATGTTTACCCCACAGAGGGTTAACCTCACTTTTCTGAGTTGCCCAAGAGTGGATAGGAACTAGAAGATGCACAGCATGGAGCAAGAGTCGGTTGTGCATGCTGAAAGTGGGTCACAGAGTTTATGCAGACTTGGTTGGGTCTGGGAGTACAGCAAGTGAACAAAGGCCCTGAAGACACATGAGGACAAGAGGATCTAAAATGTTAAAATGTTATATAAGATGTGTCTGATATTAGGCTTTACATCTGCTGAAGAGAACCATTGGGCTTCTCTATGTTGAAGCAGTGTGACTGTGGCAGGTCAGCTCAGCTGGTTGGAGAAGCTAAAAAGATCATGGTACAGTTTTCCAGCCAGTCAAACATGCATGTGACACTGTCTGAGAGGGTGAAGATGGAGTGTTGTTATTGTTAGCTGCCATCGAGTTGTCCCCCAACTCATGGTGACCCCGTGAACAATGGGATCGAACCATGGTGATCCATAGGGTTTGTATCAGCTGATTTTTTTTTTTTTTTAAAGTAGATCAGTAGGCCTTTCTTCCTAGTCTGTCTTAGTCTGGAAGCTCCACTGAAACTTGTTCAGCATCATAGCAACATGCAGGCCT